ACGTATAGGTAAGGTGATGTATAAAGGAAACCCTGCAGAGATGACTTGATGAAGTCATATTGCATGCGTGCCCATAGTGACGTGCCTGAGAATAGCTTGATGTTGAAAATCTGACATCAACACAATACTACTGATAGGTAAAATCTATCTTGCCACCAAGTTCACAAGAGATCCAACATCACCATTAGCTGGGTGTTTAAGTGGATGAGGTACGTAAGACAACATGAGAGGTCTTGCAGGACGCCCAGATGGCACCAACTACACTGTGTCCGGACAAAATGTCGGCTCGCAGTTTGCTGAATGCTTTTTTGTCAACTGCTATGTACCGACCTTGGTGGTGACATGTAAAATGTCGACATGCCAAAAAATCGAATCGGCAAATGGTGAACTGCAAAATGGCGGCATGGAAGAATGGCGTCATGCCGAAATAGCGAACTGTTAAATGACGGATTACAAAACAACAAACGTTTAAATGCCGTTGAACCGCTTACGATTCATGTTTCAGCTAATAATGACGAGATAAATTGGTGACATGCTAAAATGATGAAAAGCCAAATGACGGCATGAAGAACGACAAGCTCAAGTGGCAACAACAAAAGCACAAGATTTTCCAAGGCTACGCGGAATGGGTAAGTACTATTCGATATTTTATGAGAGCTGCGTCAAGTGCCAATGATTCTGGTTACCGACCAACTTTCACATGACGAATTTCATATTGGCGACCTGTAAAACAGCTGACGTGCCAAAAAAGTCAAACCGACGAAGTGGCGAGTTGCAAAACGGTTACATACCAAAAATCCGAAAGGCGACATGACCCCAAAAAGGGCCACATATCACAAAGTCGACGAACCAAAATGGCGAAATGCTAAACGGTGGCACGTAAAAAAGATAATATGCCAACTTGGCAAACGGCCAAGGGTGACCTGCTTGCAGACAATGTTCCGCACTTGAAGATGTTAAGGCAAACTTCAGATATGATGGAAAATGCTCACTTGTAGGAATCATGAACAGAACCTGTCATTAACTATTGGTACAATTAAAAGTACAAATACCGCTTTGGACAAGAAATGACTAATTAGTCCTAACTACTCCACCAGAACTAGTTCTGGCGTTCTTTTATGGAGCACCAGGGACTGCAGTGACTATATCAACTCTCAGGAGGCATGGCGCAACCGGGATTTGAGCCCGGAATCCCCACGTGGGAGTCCGGTGCACTAACCACCTTGCTATCACGCAATGTTTGCTTCTTAACACGCGCTCGGGTGGGGAGTCAAATTGACCCCTCCCCCGAAGGTTTTTCCGGAATGGTTTCCGAACGGCGCTGCGTAGTCGCGCCAAATTTTGCATAGCTGTAGACAATTGAACAGCGGATCGTTTGGCATCCAAAAATTTAGATGCACCTTGTAAGGTCGCTGACCTGTGGTAGGTCAACGTCAGGCCATGGTTTCAGCGAAGGTAATTCTAGGGAATTCTTCAATCTGATCCAACAACGGAGTGTTAGTCGAAGCCATACATCTGTGAGATGCTTTATTAAACAACACAGCGCTTTGTATGAGCAAATTAAATTGACTTAAGGTCAGGTATGAACGTCACATAAAGGTAAAAACCAATCTATTTTGTTACTCCTGGGCTTGCTATATGGTATAGTTTCTGGTGCTAATTTCGGGTTTATTGATAGCAGGAACCGCATTATGCACCTTCCATGGGCTTCTTAGAGGTCAGAATAGGTCATTGATCTAAAATGACCCAGGTCAACATATTGCTTTAGGAACATTCTGTCCAACGTAATTTTTGTCGTTTAGTCAAATGCAGAACGCAAAGCAATCTTGTATTACTTTGGTCACCTTGACCTTCAAAAGGTCAATTAAGGTCACTGACCTTGAATGAGCATGTGAACTTTTGCTTAGAAACGGTTAGCTAGGTTCTGGGAGCACTTTGAACACCAACCTGAAACTTGACCCTGTTTGATCTTTTGTGACCCGAAGGTCATGACCTAAGAACCTGAAAGTTTGATCTAAGTGAGTTCACGTACAGGTCAATACACCCTGTAAATTTTGTGCCTCTAGCTTTCTTAGTTCCCGAGACCTCAGGGGGGTCAAATTGACCCCCACCCGAGCGGAGGGTATCTAGCCGGCCAGCCGGGCGAGTGTTAATGCGTCATCCTTCGATCATGTCATGGAACCATTTTATGACGTCAGAGTCGCTGCCAGGCTGGCGGCGTCAGGGTGGCCGCTATTTTACGGGCTGACTCATTTGTAGTATTTCGGCTCGCGAGTACACGTGATTTGGGAAGACCTGTAAGTGAAATGAACCGAATATTGTGATGTGTGTGTGCTTTAGCCCTTTCTCATAGTGATGATCTCTTTTATTTCTCCATGATAGCATATTTTTTCCTTGCACTTACTTTCGCGGATAAGCCACTATTCTCAAGTTATTCAATCCTAGGCACATCTTCGTCGTAACTAGTAGCGCCTCAAATGGCCCTGGTTGGACCGTGGAGCCCCTGAGAACGCAGAAGGGTATCTCAGTGCCCAGAGGACTCCTCGGTGGCTACAGCGGCCCTTAGCAATCAGCCAAACCCCTGAGCAGCTAATATGCCCCCGAATGATCATGGGGACACTGGGCAGATGGACGAGCCTTTGGCGATTTCTAAGAACCCTAAGCGTCCAAAGCGCTCTTTTGGTTGGAGGGGGGGGGGGCGGGGCAACAGCAGGCAGGCAGAAGGGTAACTGGAGCCCAACAGCAGGCAGAAGGGTAACTGGGGGCCAAGAGCAGGCAGAAGAGTAGCTGGGGCCCAACAGCAAGCAGAAGGGTAACTGGGGCCCAACAGCAGGCAGAAGAGGTATTAAGCTTAGAAGTCACCTTCCTGTCACCCTGGCAGGAAGGGAGGGCACTGCGGGAAACAAACACAGCACTTCTGGTTTCTCAGACGAGCGTCTTAACCACTACGCTAGAACTGTCAAACAGGCTCTGGGTAGTTCCGAAGTCACTTGGCTCACCCTTCCTAAAAAGTGAGAGGCAATTGACGCCATATAACCCCAGCACCTGAGTGCGTCATAAAGCGACGATGACAACAACCGTTCAGGGGTGGTATTGACTTCTCTCTGCCCTCGGTGTGCTCAGGCCCTCTGGCCGCTGACAGGCTGTTATAGCTGGCGCTGGTGGGAAGCCCCTGATAGGTCTGTTCCCCTCTGCCGCTCAGGGCCTTTGGTGGTCACCCAGGCTCACTGGTCACGCAGGGAAACCCTTGATTGCTCGTGAGCGTTTCTGGCCACTTCAGTGCTCGTCTGGTTGTTGATGGGCTACTGACTGCTTAGCGATACGTTTGTTCGCCAGAGGATAAAGCTATATCCTCACGACCTTTTGGACACTTGATGTTTTTGCCATCAAGAGGTCCCTTTTAACATCTAATAGTTCTTCTTCCTAATCTTGGAACAACAAGGGCAATGTTTCAAAAGCTGCTTTGTGTCAATTAGTAGATATTTGCGAGCCAAATGTTTTATTAGATGGACCTTGCCTGCCTGATCAAAAATCATTAAAATTTCGCCCCCACATAGCGGCTAACGTGAAAAAGGTGGAAAATATTGCTTTAGGCAGCACAATTCTAACTTAAGTAAATGCGCTCTTCAATGCATTATGGTTTTATTTCGTCATCGTACCTTGCTCAACATTGCTTGAGTACCAATTGACGGCCGTTATGTCAGAAAACCGCTCTTACGAACGCCAGATATAAATGCCTCGACAATTATGATGTTGGCCTTCATCGCCGCGTGGTTTATAGAATGGCAGGATTTTAATGACGTTGTAATGACGTCACGCATTCGCGGCCGTATAGCTCAGAAACTAGAGTGGCTTAGGTCATAAAAAGGGCGGGATTGTGAACACCACTGAAAAGTATTTGATAGCTATTTCAGTTCAAAACCCTATGTAAATATGGAACACTCCTTTTAACATGAAATGAATTGATGTGGTTAAAGTCCTAACATTGCGAAAGACTCGAGCAACGTTGGTCGACACCAGAGGTGCAGACTTAAACGACCCAGCACCCAGCGACATGGGACTGATGAATGCTAATGCATGAAAATGCGAACAAGTGTACGGGCAAAGGCCCGAGTCGCTGTATGCAGACGGGTATGCGACATGATGACAAATCTGGGATCCGGCCGGCTTGGACCTTTCCCAAAAAATGATGTCAGATATAAGCAACTAGAACAGATGGAGACGGCAAATAAGATCATCTGCTTGGTATAGACGAATGTACCGGCTACAGCTAACTAATGGATTCCAACACTGTCGACCCATAGCTGTACCAGTAATCGACAGCAAGGCGGTCAACGTCAGTTTCCACCTCAAATGTCCATATCAAATGCATGAGGTCCAGGTCCAGATCGGAAGGGAATTGGCCCTGAAACTGCACTAGTGTGCGATCCAGTGCATTGTTTGTGATCATTATTCGCCCCAAAATATTTGCATTTTGCGGAATACCTTTAAGCGTGGCTCGCATCATATGATGCTCGTATGATCTCGTACTGGTACTCGTATGATGGTGACTTAATAACCACCATTTTCAACGGTGCAAATCTTTGCAGATTCATCGACAACGTCGATTAAAATTGTCAAATCACTCAGATCAAACAGGTCAGACTCATAGCCCATGTAAAGGCATCTCCACAGCCAGTCAGCTTCAAAGCAATGGTGTTTGTCGAATAGCTCGTGAACGTCAAATCAGTCCGAGCATCAGTAAACCTCCACCGTTAAACTAAGCATAACAAACACTTCCTGACGCATTGCCCGAGCCCATTGGAATCAGTTGTCAAATTTTTCTGACTGCGGGCTGAGAACTTTTGCGTATGTTGTCCCCGCTCTCTTCTCACGTCGCACAACGAGCTCTTTGGCAATGTTTCCAAACCGCGTGTTGTGAACAAAATTCGAGGTGGTTGTGAAAAAGGTCAGGACGTGTGTCACTGATATGGTTCGATGTGCGAACTCAAAGAAATTCGTCAGCAAATAGCGGTGTATTCGGCAAGATAAATACACGGCCAAGCACAGATGGCACTAAACATCCCAATTCCCGGTTGGTCTGCCAGCTGTTTGCTGTTCGTCGTGCAGTCCACTTCCTTGACTATCGTGCTCTCCAATGGCATCGCAGCGTGTGTTTTATGAGACAAGGTCCTAAAAACATCCCATTGCGCAGGAAACAGTGACATATGGCTCTACCTAACAGAGGTCGCCATCTCCGCATCCCATCCCGCTATGCTCGGAGGCGGAAGTTGTTCTCAGCCGATCTTGTACGCGGACAGCGAGTTGAAGCCACGGAAGCGGGCGTCGTTCTCATAGAGGTAGCCCTCGGCCAGCCAGAGGTAGACGACGTCGCCGCCGACCAACTGAACGACCGCCGAGTTGGAGCCGGTGTCGAACCCCCCGTAATTGGCCTCGGCGCTGATGACGCGGCGCGTATTCCTCATCAGGTCCACCCTGCGGTGGGACACGAGCGGCGGTCATGCACATGTTCCGCATCAGGTTCACCCTGCGGTGGGACACAAGCGGCAGTCAGGCACATGTTCCGCATCATGTACACCCTGCGGCGAGACACGAGCGGCGGTCAGGCACATGTTCCGCATCAGGTCCACCCTGTGGCGAGACACGAGCGGCGGTCAGGCATGCTGGCGTGCAGCACTTTCAGCTGGCTTTCCGCGGACAAACTGCTTTACATTTCTCAGCCTCTGGAAAGGGTCAAATATTTACAGCGAAGGATGCATTGAAATGTTATGTGTTTGGTTTTGGGTTGCATTTGTGAAACACATGAGAAATTTGAGTGGATTTGATCACTAACCTTGAGATGGACGTGAGGAATCGCTCGAGGCAAGACCTTCTTTTTTACAATTATCTGAATCACAATTCAAAATTTTTGACTTCCATGCGGCACAATTAAAAAGCGAATGTCCAACAACAACGACATGTACATCCACAACATTCAAGCGCGTACAAAATATGTGGCGAGGAATTGCACAAGAATAAATGGCGACTTTATTACTACATGTAGTCTAAATACACCATGAACAACAGTGCACCTCGAGCATGCTCAAACCGACAACCTGAAGCGTTGACGACAGCCGCCTTCTGTCTCACCACACCCAACCGGCGCCAGCACCCAACACCCAACACCCAACACCCAACTGCCACACCCAACTGGCGCCGACCCACCTGGCTCTTCCCTGGGCGGGAGACAGCACGTGAAATGTGAAGAAGTACGTCCCGGGGCAGGAGCAGCGGAAGGACGAGCTGGCGGCGTCCCAGCCGTGCCCGACGTTCGTGACCATGTCGTCAAATACCACCTGCGGGGTGCCCTGGCAAATCAGCACTGCCGTACAACAGCTGAAATGTATCAGGCGCTGTGCCTACTTAGTTTATGATGCTAAAGGCCGCAGAGACTTAATGCTGGTAAGTGTAATTAAGGTAAGGCCAGTGAAATGTTTTCTAAGAGATGCCATACGAACTGGCAAAAGTTTTCACTCAAGTTCGCTTGCAACGAGCGTGGGGCGGACAGCTGCTTTAATTTCATAGGACGCCGACAAACTTGCTATATGCAAATTGTTCTCGGAGACGGCATCTATTAAAGCCCTGGGTCTGTGGAAGCCGCACAGCGTTCACAGTGTTACGCGTTCTAGTGAAACCATTCGTAACTTCCAGGCAGCTCAGTTGTGTGTCTGAAAATGATATGCAAAATATGCAATTATCAAGAGCAAATATAGCTTTACATGCAGTTACCCCCTGAGAGTTCCACACCGCCATTCGCCATTCCTGGGCAGCGCTATGGGTTCAGCACTGCTGCTGAGGCCACAGCGCTGCCCAGGCCCGCTGAAGTCGGTGACCTGAGTGCCCGTCGTGCCGGCCTTGCGCCTCTGATAGTTGACCTTGGCCACCGTGAAGGCGACGGTGCGGCAGTCGTTCGGCCCGGCCGTGACCTGGGTCGAGGTCGAGTGGTTGGCGCTGCTGGGGTTAAACGTGCCCAGCACGGCGGAGATAGGACTGCTGGGCGGCACCGTAGCGCTGGGACTGCCTGCCAGCATAGCAACACACAGTAGGTGAGCGGAAACCTGCGGGGTAAACCGGAAACACCGTAGACGCGGGCACGTGTTAGAACGTGGGGTTGCCAAACCATGTTTGGAGTCGATTCTTCAAATGCGTCACCACAGGGTTAATGCTCGGCATGCTCAGAAAGTGGAGATGTAATGCCCCCCCCCCCCGCCCTAACCCACCCCTCCGTTCCTGCGCTTATGAGAAACACTAATGCAAATACCCTACTTTCAGCACACAAGGGTTAGATAACGGCGAGCGCAGCACAAAAGTCTGTCCTGTGTCTGCTTGAGACTCTGCCTCGCCGCGGTTTGTGCTGGCGGGTGGCGTTCTGTTGATGCAGCGCCGCTCACAATAGTTAAAGGCTTTCGTGCGTCTTTCTCAAGGAACGCTAAGCACGTCATCGCGCACTTTTTTATGGAGCCTCAACAACTGCAGGGGCTAGCTTTACCAGCGGTCAGGAGCCACGACGATGGTGGAGTTTGACGCCATGCCCTCCCCCTCACGACACACACACACACACACACACACACACACACACACACACACACACACACACACACACACACACACACACACACACACACACACACACACACACCACACACACACACACACACACACACACACACACACACACACACACACACACACACACACACACACACACACACACACACACACACACACACACAACACACACACACACACACACACACACACACACACACACACACACACACACACACACACACACACACACACACACACACACACACACACACACACACACACACACACACACACACACCACACACACACACACACACACACACACATGGGAACTGGAGGCGCTAACACCTCGCCCGTCACGCCCCCGGAACGGCTTCTGCGTGTTCATCACAGCGGGTCTCATGTATCCCTTCAATTAACAGCTAACCACTGAAAATCCCACAGGCACGGAAAAAAATTAACACGGTTGGGTGGGCCGAGTCCCAGGAAGCAGCCTGGCTTGTGTGAAGCATTATATTTTGAGTAGGATTTAGTCTACTCTAACACAACGCCGTGCAATGGTGCGCCAATTTGGTGTTGACTTTTTTGTCAACGCTTAGGAGTTCAAAAGTTGGATAAGGTTCAAATGCATACTGAACCCTTCGTTTAAACAATTCGATATTGTTCTGGGGTGGGGTCGGCCGCTGTCACTCGCAGTTCTCGTGCCACTGAGATGCCCCCTCCCTATTTCAAGGTCATCGACCACCAGCTGAGAATCGCCTGGACTTAAGCAGAAACTTTTGACGTCCGGCTGGCCCTGAGTGGCGCCCACCTGTCCGTCACCTCTCCCTCGGCACACCGACCCAGGCCTTTCGATGCCCTCGAGCTGGTCGTTGGATGACCTTTCACAGACTTTTTAAAATGTCCAATCTGCTAGCCTCCCCTGATCTTCAACGCTGACCTCGTCCACTCTCCCCTGATCTTCAACACTGGCCCCAGTTAATCCCCTGATCTTCAACACTCGCCCCAGCTAACCCCCTGATCTTCAGCACTGACCCCAGCTAACCCCCTGATCTTCAACACTGGCCCCAGCTAACCCCCTGACCTTCAACACTGGCCCCAGCTAACCCCTGATCTTCAACGCTGACTCCAGCTAACCCCTTGATCTTCAACACTGGCCCCAGCTAACCCCCTGATCTTCAACACTGGCCCAGTTAACCCCTTCATCTTCAACACTGACCCCAGCTAACCCCCTGATCTTCAACACTGACTCCAGCTAACCCTGATCTTCAACACTGACCCCAGCTACCCCCTGATCTTCAACACTGGCCCCAGCTAACCCCTGATCTTCAACACTGCCCCAGCTAACCCCTGATCTTCAACACTGGCCCCAGCTGACCCCTGATCTTCACACTGGCCCCAGTTAACCCCTTCATCTTCAACACTGACCCAGCTAACCCCCTGATCTTCAACACTGACTCCAGCTAACCCCTGATCTTCAACACTGACCCCAGCTTGCCCCCTGATCTTCAACACTGGCCCCGGCTGACCCCTGATCTTCAACACTGGCCCCAGCTACCCCCTGATCTTCAACACTGACTCCAGCTAACCCCTGATCTTCAACACTGGCCCCAGCTTACCCCCTGATCTTCAGCACTGGCATCATTCAGTCTCCTCATGACTTCCAACACTGAACCGAACCAGCCTCTTCCTTGTCTTCAACATTGACCTCATCTAGCCTTCCCTGACCTTCAAATAGCCCCAGGTAATCCCTGCTGCCCTTCGTCTGACCCCGACTGACCTGCGGCGGCGGCGGCGGCGATGGCGGCCGCGGGGGTCAGCAGCGGTTCGCCCTGGTCCGCCTTGTTGCCGGGCACGGCGGCCAGGCCGGGCCCCACACGGCCGGCGCGACCGGCTGCGGCCACGGTCAGGACCGCCAGCAGCCTGACGACGTGCAGGTCATAAAGGACAGCGGGCTGCATGGGCTGCAGTGTAACCACACGTGTGCTGTTCTTGGATCCGCTCTGTACATGGGAGATACAGCAATGTAACGTAACGGTTTGAAAGTATGTTCGCTGTGGATTGTGCCGTTTTTAGCGGTCTTGATTTCCCTGCGCAATGGAATATAGGGCACCCCAGTTTCGCGCCACATTCAACAGCGCCCACATCGTGCTGGCGTAAGACAGTGTTATTGCAGGACCATTTCCGCCGGCGAGCTTCAGTCTCGGAAACGCAGTCCAGCTGAACGACTGTATGATGGACCTGACCCGTGCGGCACATGGCGCACGTGCACAACGCTGTACTTACGATGCCACGAGAAGGGATGTCGACATGTTGCACGCAGTTGCCACGATCAGGGTGCCGGAGTAGAATGCTCCGCTAAGGACGATCCCGGGATACAACTGGCGTTATACGCATCCGCTGCTGTATTAAAGGTGACGTCACATTGCTGGGCGTACGTTTCTGCCTTCGGTGCACAGTAGCCGCCGCACAACAGGGTGATGGGTATTCCGTTGAAGCCGGTGCTGCCCTCTGCAGCCTGTGGCACACCGCCGGCGGCGTCGGCGGCTGCGCCTCATTCTCCGCTCCCCGCTCTGTGAGATCGGGCGGCCGTGCTGCTGCCGGCACCCCTCCGGCGGCAGTGGAGCGTGACGCCACGCCATCGGATCACGATGACGTGGCAAACCGCTGGTCTTCCGAACAGAGCCTTATGCTGCCGCGATCACGTCACAATTGGCTGCGTTGCTGGACGTCGAGATCAGTGCAGAAAAGGGGTATGGAACGAGATTTTCGGGCTCGCTCCCTAATTATGCATTCATTTTGCCGGTTCAAACTGTGTACGCGGTGAAGTTATCAGGTTATTTTCCTTATGATGCCTATGTTCATGCTGGCGACCAAAGACGGTGTACAGAATGACATTTTGGGCGTCCTCCCCAATGATATGTCCATGTTGCCGCCAGCCGTATCGGGTTCAAAATGAGAGTGTGCTTCGGCGGATCTGAGACTTTCGCTGGACGCTTGCTGCTACTCGTGATCACAGTACCGAGCGCATTTTTGGTGTACGTGTAGCCATTGACCTTCGGAGATTAAGGGAAGTTACTGGGTCTGAATCTTGTGCACTCAATAACTTAGAGAGGAAGACGGAGACATAAATATCTGGGCCTTAGGACATGCACATTAGATCAAAGGAGGCGTAGGTCAATGGAATCACTCCTACATATGTGTATATATATATATATATATATATATATATATGTGTGTGTATATGTATATATATGTATATATGTGTGTATATATATATATGTGTATATACATATATATATATATATATATATATATATATATATATATCACCCCTATCACCAGTTGACCTCAGGTTGCCATCAGTGGTGCAGCTAGAGGCAGTGGCAGTGACACCGGCAGGGGAGGGACGTAAAAGGCGTATCCCCAATAACTTTTGGTCCAAAGGGAACTGCCCCACAACCTCAGAAAGACGCTAAATGTTGAGCGCATGCACACGCGCTATAGTGAAACGAACAGAAGCAAAAATCACACACCGATTCCAAATTTTCTTGAGATGACTCTCATAACTCCTGGGAAGCAGTGCACCAAACAAACCATGCACGAATCCTCTCCATAGTCAGCTCTTCTTGCACTGCAAATGCCAGAGCTCGCGCTCGCCTTCGGCTGTTCGACGCCTTTCCCATGCTTCTCGGCAATTGTTCTGCAGGGGAAGAATAAGGCCGTGTCCCGCCACCGTTCCCACTGTTAAAATCAGGGCACGGATCTGTTGAAGTGTTAAGCTAGACCAAGTTGTGTTATGTGTTGTTAACTAGTTCAATTTGGTGTAAGAGGATTAACGCTTTCATTAACGTGGGAAACAGCTCACGGAATCATTCACTTTCCTTCATTTTTTTGATGCTATTCGTACCCCAAATCCAAATCAAAATGCCAACCAACGAACTGTAAAACAGTTTGAGATGGAAACAGAAGGATTTGAATATAAAACTGCAGCGAATCCTCAATTCTAGTTTAAACCTTGCAGGGCAATAGTACGATTGTGAAATGTATGCGAGCTCATAGCTTGGTGTAGGAACTGACAGATATGGAAAAACCATGTAAATAGATTACCAATAAATAAAGGAATTACAAGTTCCGTTAACTTGTTGAACGATTTAACGAATTTGCTTTTATTTAGTTCACCTGTTTTGTTAACAGATCACCTTCAACGGGCGCTAAATTTTAGCTTCACTTTATCCACCTACGGTTAAGGTAGAACTCAAGTGTTAAGCTGGACCGCTACAGTACTTCATTGGCTCACAATACTACATAAATTATTCGACACAATAAGCTCAATGTGTTATATCAACAGTAATAGGAATGTAACAATTACTTTGCAGAATTCTGCAGCTCTTCGAAATAAAGGAGAAGAGATGCCCTAACCCATTTTTCTAATGTTCTTTAATTTTGTGGTTATGAGGCAAAACCTCCGCATTCCAGG